CACTTGCCCTTGTTGAATTTAATTAAATTTTCCCCTGCTCCACTCTCCACCCTGTCCAGGTCTCACTGAATGGCAGCACAGCCTTCTGGAGTGTCAGTCACTCCTCCCAGTTTTGTGTCATCAGCAAACTTGCTGACAGTGCACTCTGTAATAATTACTCTGTAATTTTCGTAATAGAAATCCTGCATGTCTAAACATCTATCCAGCTCATTGTACTGAGGTGGACTTACATTTACATTTCAGGTCTCCTCCTAGAGGTGTGGTTTTTTACTGCTAGTAGTATTATTATATTTAGTATTACTATAATCGTCTAAGGGATCCAGAGGCTATTATACCATCCTCCTATCAACTACCACTAAGTTACTGTTTAATCTTTTATTCTGCTATAGATCCTTCTTTTAGACAGTAGTTGTTAACAGATCCTGCTTTTAGACAATAGTTAATTACAAAGTAGAGTCCTATTACACCTCGTTCTGGGGACTTTCCATTCTTGTTGCTGTGGTTTCAAATGGGACCTACATGGTTGCTTAATTTGCAGATCTTTAACTCTGTACCTTGAACATCACTAGGAGACCTGGAGTGCTCCCCTCAGATAATTTGGATGCCACGTATAGATAACTCATACAGAGAGAGTCCGTCGTCCTCATTTCTGAATAAGATCTTAACAGTGCTTGTGGTCACAGTAGCAGTATGCTGGACTTGGGCTGTGGATGAGCTTGGAAATTTTTCTACAGGAACTCAGTATACTAAAAAGCAGATCTGTTACTCATCTCTGAAATGAAAACTTCAGTTCTGCTGGGATTTGAAAGCATGCTTTTTACCAAAATGTTGTCATCTTGGTCCATTCCCCATGTCAGTCTTGAAGAGCCAGGACTTGATGTGGAGAACAATGACAGATTTCTGTTGCTGCTGCCATGGTAGGTTTATTAGTGGTGTGGTGCTGTTTCACTGTACTGGAAAAACCTCTGGCAAAGGAAAATGCCTCATGTGAAGCTGTCTTGCCAAAAGTGATAAGGTGGAGTAAATGGCTGATTGCTGGTGGGCAGGAGCTTGGGGAAGGGGGGTACCACTGGTGGTACCCATAGCCAGCGCTGCCTGGGAATGATCCACTCTGCCCCTTTTTAACTCCTGGGCCTGAATTATTTATCTAGAGCTTAGGATACTACTGTAGCTAGTAACTTGTTTAGCAAGGCATTTTAGAGTCAGGTTAGAAATCTGTCTGTATGTCTGTTTTTTAAAAAAAGAATCCAAAACACAATTTTTATTGTGTTCTAAGAGCTTGTCTCAAAATTTTTGCCAAATGGCTTCATTTGGAGATCATGTTGGAATATAACCTTTGTTCTTCTAACTTCAATGAAAAGAAAAAAAAAAGTGATAGTAAAAACAGCAGTAATGTGGCAGTGATTTACTAATTGCGTCATAGCTTTTTTCTTCTCAGAGAAAAAACAAAAAAATTAATGCTTTTTGGCTGAAAGAGAAAGACGTTGCAGTAAATTTCTTCCGAAGGGAATAATCTCTCCTGTATGTGCAAAACAGAAGCTGATAAATGTGGGGATTGGTTGTAAATGCTAAAAGAAATTACATGGTGTTGTGTATCTATTTTACATATTTTGCAGAATTCTGCTCATCATAGCCCCATTGTCTGCTTTCTCTACACTAAAAACTAGTTTCACGGGGGGCTTTTTTTCTCCTTGTTTCTCCCCCCCTCTCTGTACGAGAGCAGCTCAGGGGAGAAGGACCTGGCAGTCCTGGTGGACAACAAGTTGACTATGAGCCAGCAATGTGCCCTTGTGGCCAAGAAGACCAATGGCATCCCAGGGTTCATTAAGAAGACTGTGACCAGTAGGTTGAGGAAAGTTATCCCCCCCCCCTCTGCCCTGATGAGGCCACATCTGGACTACTGTGTCCAATTCTGCGCTCCCCAGGTCAAGAAGGACAAGGAACTACAGGAGAGAGTCCAGCATAGAGCCACCAAGATGATGAGAGGGCTCGAGCATATCCCATATGAGGAAAGGCTGAGAGAGCTGGGTCTGTTTAGCCTGGAGAAGAGGAGACTGACGGGGGATCTCATTGATGCTTATAAGTATCTAAAGGGTGGGTGTCAGGGGGATGGGTCCAGGCTCTTCTTGGTTGTGCCCAGTGACAGGACAATGGGCAGTGGTCACAAACTGGAACACAGGAGGTTCAACTTAAACATTAAGAAAAACTTTTTCACTGTGAGGGTGACAGAGCACTGGAACAGGCTGCCCAGAGAGGTTGTGGAGTCTCCTTCTCTGGAGACATTCAAAACCTGCCTGGATGCCTTCCTGTGTGACCTGGACTGGATGATCCTCAGAGGTCCCTTCCAACCTTTTACCATTCTGTGTGATAAAATTGAAATGGGCATTGCTAACAAGAAAGGCAGTGAAATGCTATGATAAGTGGAGGCTGAATATTTCAAAGCATTTATATTAGTAAATGTCTCTATGTGCAACAGCAACTGCCATGTTTCACCTCAGTGCCAGGGGTGTGCACTGTGCAGCTTCTGGAGACACTTGGTAATTTCTTGGAAGACTGTAACCTGAAAACCATCAGTCCAACTGATGTAATGCCTGGCTGAAGAACTTTTGGCTTTGACTGTGATGTGTAATTGTAATTAGTAATTTGTGTTTAGTAATTTTTAATTAGTAATTACTCATTTTATTGGTTTACCATTTTTTAATATTAAAAGGGAAGCAGGGGAACCAGATGTGTACAGAGGTAAGAAAGCATTGCACTGTACTGTGAACAACTTAATATAAGGAGAAATGCTAAGTGTTTAATTTAGAAATTTAAGATTATAAAACAGGAAACAATGTGTTAATTTATTTTTTAAATTAACTAGTCTCATAGGATTTAAAATTTGTTTCTCGACTATAAATTTCAGTATTCTGAATGCTTTTGTCTTGCAGAACTGCAACTTTAAAGTTAGTGAATGTTCTAGGCATTGTTCTTGCTGTATATAACTTGAACTTTGGTAATTGCCTGCTATCCTAACCACTTTGCATTCTTAGGATGATGATAAATTGTAGTAGTAAATGTTGGGAAGAGAGGTGTGCCTTCTGCCTCTGTTCTAAAATATCTTCATTTTATGTGCGTTATCCATGAGCTGCAGGACTGCTGAAGTCTGCAAGAAGTCCTGCATGTAATAGTCTTCATGCATGCTTTAACTGGAATTCATTGATACTTAAATTCCCACTGCTTGGGCTGGAATTCTTGTGGTTTTCGGAAACTGTGTGGCAGGACTTGGCTGCAAGTTCCAAGGGAGTTATATAGCCTTTGGGGAAGTACAGTGGAGCTATATGTGGGATGTTTGCCTTCATCCTTGTCATGCGTAATAATAAATTGGTGGACCCTATTAAGCAGAAGGTTTGTCCAGAAAGGATCTCTAATCTTTTTCTTTTGTTGTGCTTCTTCTAAATTGTATGAAAACTACAGTTCCTATACAGGGTGCATAGTATTGCTAACACAGTAATTCTGTTTTATTGTAAGATTACATTTAAAGCTCATCTTGGTGCTGTGTAACTTCAGTGAAGATAGCTTTATCTTAGTCTTTTTCTTTCTTTGTTTTACACTTCAGAAAGACCATACAGTACAGTATTTTTTGAGTACACTTCTAGAATTCCGTTTATTAAAGACTGTTTAGACTGGGACTCCTTTTAATCTTTCAGGAGCCTGTGGGCTGACACTGGAGTTAATTTTTGGAAGGGCTTAAAGTGAATTTGTTGTTGCGTCAGAGAACTTGGTATAACTCACACAGTTTCTATTATTTTAAACAGACTCATGTGATTCCACTACTGTGTATAAACATACAAGCTGTTTGTATGCTTATCCTTAACGTGAAGACTTTATTTGCATGGTCATACTACTTTTCTTTTTTTGAAAAATTGTTTAGAAAGTGCAGATTTTATACATTACTTATTTCAAGAAACAATGAAACATAAATGACATGCTAGATAAAATATGAAGTTTGTTACTGACCAAATTCCTGTTTTCTATTAGTGGTTAAGGTACCACAGAAGACTCTTCTAATGGATGCACTGAAAGAAGAATCTGAGATCATTTATGATTTCTGCATGTGCAACCCCCCCTTTTTTGCCAACCAGTTAGAAGCAAAGGTAAGCTAACAAACTAAATGTTGAATGTACTTCAGCGTTCAGTGAGTGGGAAGGTAGCTACAATTTTAACTTCTTCCCCTTGGGGGAGGTTGAGTGGAAAACTCCAAATCGTTATGAAATAGCATTTAAGTCTTCTTCTTCCTCACCCCCTGCCCCAAAGAAGTTTTTTAGAAACTTAACTGTTACCCTTCCTAAAGTGATGGATGACCTGTAGAAATTTTTCACAAGTTCTTGCTGTCTTAAGGAATTTGGAAAGTAGGCAGCTAGTAAATCTGAAATCGAGTGCTGGTTGCATAACAGTGGTACTGAGGAATTAGTTTCTGGCATAATGCCTGACTGTTTTTCATTTCCTTAGTGACCTAAGCAATATCATACAGCTCAGAATGGTTCTTGCAATACGCACTGATTAATATAGTCAGAAACTTAACTCTATAATACAGGGCAGTAGGAAAAAGATTTAAGTGTTGAAATTAAGCACTTGTGATTGTAATTGTGTAGATGCATGTAACCAGCACGTCTAACCACATATTTCGTATTAGCAGGATACAGATGTGTATCTCTCAGTTACGCTTTTTTGGAACAGGTCTTTGTCTATTGTCCATGGTTTTGATGGGGGGAGGATAACTAGAGGTGGTGACACTTGCTGAAGATTGAGGCAGGAAATAGTGCACAAAGTGTCGTAACATTTTATTAAATGTTCTTCCTAAATGTTGTTTTTTTTATCCAGGGAGTAAATTCTCGAAATCCACGGCGTCCCCCTCCCAGTTCTGTAAATACAGGAGGTATCACAGAAATCATGGCTGAGGGGGGAGAGCTAGAATTTGTCAAAAGAATTATTCATGATAGTCTACAACTTAAAAAGAGGTTACGGTAAGTGCTTTGTTCTAGTTAAAGACCCCACATCTTCTATCTGCTTCTTTGGCAAAAGTCATGTGGAAGTGATATTTTTAAGTGAGGAAAGTAACTGTGGTCTAGTAGTATCTGTTTGATTTGTTTGATGATACATCCACATCAGTAATTAGTTTCAGTTTATGTAAAATTAGTTGTTCCTGAGCATCAATTACAACTCATCGTTGCAGGTATTTTAAGGCAGAAGGAAAAAAAAAAGCCTGTACCAGTGACACTTGTAGCTTGCAGCTAAATTAACACACACAAATCTCTAAAGAGTGTCAGGGTTGATTCTTAAGGGCATCTGGGATGGAGTGTTTGTGGCATTACCTGGTTATCTCTTCATTATCTCAAAGTTTCTGTGTTTTCCTAGCTGAATTTTGGTAACTTACAGCTTTGCCTCCTAAAGGGCACTGTTGTACTGAGTGCTATCTTGGGTGAACGTAAGCTGCAATAAAAACTATAGCGAGACTTCATTTTGAACAAGATAAACAGATGGCACGTCTTCAGTTTTTTGACTGTCAGACTTCCTGTCCCTCAGTGTTTTATGTTATTCCTCTAGCTCTTCTGGAAGATTCCTTCAGGGTTTTTTAAAATATCCTTCTAAAGTATAGCTGCCAACATTTTATGCGTGTGTTACCACAGTTTCTGCAGTAGGAAAGGAAATACAGCCTGCCTGGTTTGGTTTTGTTTTGTTTAGACCTTTCCAGGCAGAGGATTGCATTAGAATCTCGCCTTCATCTGTATAATACCAACATTTTTCTTTAGAAGGTTTGTTTTCTAGTAGTGGGCCTGAAAAAATGAAAAATATATTCAGTTTTTGGAAAAACAAGACAAAACAAAACTGCATGTGGCTCTGTTAGAAATGCTGCTGTCATGTCATGCTTTAAATAAAAAAAAATCAGTTTGTGAAATTGCAACCTCTGCAAACCTTCTCAACTTTTTTTTGTCCTTCAATGTCCTTCCTTTCTTTGTCACCCCTCCCAAATCTTATAATAAAGAGGTGATAGATTGTATGGCAGAGTGATAAAATAAAGGTTTTGATGTGCAGAAACGTTTACAAGCCAGAAGAATTAGACTTGGCAATGTTTCTTGTGCCAGCAAGGATGCTGAAAAATGACTGGTGTTCCTGTGAAAATTTGTAAGTGGAATGTTATTTTAGGCTACTTGATACAGACAGGCTTTTAGGTGTGCATGCTCTTAGTCCTGTCTAAAATAAAGGTAGTGATTTTTCAAAACTAAATATAAGCTGAAACAGTTGTTCTGAATTTAGTCAGTGCTAAAATGGGTGAATAAAAATAAAATCTAAGCAGATGTCCATCTTCCCCTTCCTTGTGACTCTAAAACTAATCACCAACACAGAACATAAGAAGATTGCTTAGCTGAGGATGCAAATAAGGAAGCAACGGAAGTGTTTTGAAAGCTTTCTCTTGAGCATCATGGCTGGCAGGTCAGAAAGGAAGCCATGGTATATATGTATATGTTAAATTTTTTCTTGGTTTTTTTCTTTTGTATGTGTTGATTCTGATATGTAATGGTTTTATTCCACTGATGTTGCCAAGATCTAGGAAAGAGGAGGGTATCTCTTGATCTGATAAATAGATAGTGTAAGGCACAGAACATACCCACATGCTAACTGTGTATCATATTTAGGAAAAATAAGCTCTGTGTGTTTAGGGGGTAGGAATGGTTCAGTTCATGTTTTTGGATAAACTACCTTGGAGAATCTGTTACAGAAAGAACGGTTTACTTAAAATGCTCTTTCCTGCTTTGTTAGAGATCAAGTTTGGCAATTCAGTACATGGGTGCAAGTAATGAATGGTTAGTGATAGAGATTCCCTTGAGCCAGAAGATGATCTTGACTTAGTTACCCCCATCTCCACTTCACCTAAGAGTTGCAGGTTCAGTATTTTGTAATTTGGGGGAGTAGTGTGTTTTAGTTCTGCTAGAAATGTCTGGGTTTCATTTATGTATTGCTGCATGAAATTCTGTATATTGCGTTATGCAGAAAGTAAATTAAAATAATTGTCCCTTAATACCATTACTATTTTTTGTACTATTATTTTGTACTATTTTTTTTTTTAGCTTACAGTCTGTTTAATTTGTATATGTGAGCAATTCAAAGTGCTTGCCTTCAATTTAGATGCATAGTCTTGAGGAAATTGTCCCTTGATAACTGGCAACTCAGATTTTCTTGCTTCAGTGCATTACATTTATGAATAACCTTTCTGGATCCACTCATCAAAAAAATATGGACGAGAAGGTTGTAGAGCTTGAATAGTAATAAGAAAAAAAAAAAAGAACAGAGGTGTAATGTTTGGAGATACTGAAGATGTGTCTGTGGGTGGAAGGTTAAGCTCTGCCAGAAGTGTGAAAATAAATGTCTTTCCTTTTCTTTTGCCCTGTTGGTTTCCCCATGAAATATGGGTTAGGTGATGGAAACCTGCATAATGAGTAACACATGAGCAGAAGTGGTTAGTAGGTCTGCTTCTGAGGCAGAAATGCTTGTCAGTAGTTGAATATTCTTTTTTATTCTGATTCATTCTCCAAAGAAAGTAGAGAAATTGAAACAAATTATTGTAAGGGGTAGCATCTTCCATATACCTAAAGTCACTCTTTGAAACGGGATTGTTTAGGTGCTGTTGCAATAATATACTTAATGTATTTTCTACAAACTTGACAAGATTCCCCTGTCCAATCTGTCTTTGGGCCTTCTGCTCTGATTCATGTACTATGTTCTCGTCTCTGTTTAAGAATGTGATTATTTGTTGTTGCTTCATTTTTAAATTTCCTGTTGTTCTTGCGGGTTTCTGGTACAATCTCTCTCTTTCTGGCAGATGCCATTTTCAGTTGATCTGTATTTGTAAAACGCTTTGTTAATGTGTTGTTTGCAGATGGTACAGTTGCATGTTGGGAAAGAAATGCAGTTTAGCACCATTGAAAGAAGAACTTCGAATCCAGGGGGTGAGTTTCTGTATAGTCTCTGTATATCCTATATATGTTCTGTACAATATGTACTATATGCATGCAGATAATTATTATTGAATTATTTTACTGAGTTTTTATTTACAAGAAGAAACTGTGATGCCTTGTTAGGAAAGCACTCAAAGGAGTTGAGATTTAATAATTGTAGATTCAACGCTGACAGGTAAGTAGTACATATCGTCTCCAGATTTTTGTGTTTATTACGAAGCATGTCTCTATCCTATAGAACATACAGAATTTCTGCTTTAAAATAGTCTTAACAGGGCTGTTGTAAAAAAAATAAATAAATAAAATTCTAGCTCTCTTTCCTCTTCACTAACATAAAATCTTGAGATCTGGTTTATAAAAGAAATTGTAACATTATTTAAATAGAAGCATTGTTTTGGTTGTGTTCAATTCTGGCACTAAGTCAAACCTTGTGCTACTAGTCTCATGCAAAATGGCTGCACAAAGGGCTTTTTTATGGCTTTCTGGAGGAAGTGTGGTCTCTAATTTCCATACAAATAGAATGATAATGATGAAGTCTGTCCTTGTATGTGCTGGAGAGTGGAAGGAAAGAGAATGCGTAGTAAAGTCAGTTCCCAGAATGATGAACTACTGGCTATATGGATTCCATAAACAGTACCAAAAGCAGATGCTGAGGTAGGCACTAAATTTCAAGTGTGTGACTTTCTTCCCTATCCTTGAACTGCTGCACCCTCAGTCTTAGTAAAGTGAGAGAAATCCTTGCAAACTTGCATAGAAGAGATGTGATTTCCTTTTGTATTTTTCTTGAAATCACCAATTTAATTTTGTTCAGGTTTGTAATCCTTGTTGTATGAAGGCTGGGAATATGTTCATTGTAACCAAGCACATGCTGGGTTGTGGTTCAGGTTAGGATGCAGCATAAATGTTTCCGAAAGTCCACTAATTATTCAAACTGTCTGGACATTTGCTGTATTTATTGGAAATTTTGATAGCATTAGGAGTCGAAAGGTGGGAAAAGTTCTAGGATAAAGACACCTTTTCCTCTCTTTGAAGTCATTTCTCAAAAGTAGCAGATTTTTTTTCTTTTTTTCTCCTTTTGTGCAGACCTGAGGCTTATGCTCTGGAGCTGATGATAATTCAGACTGGGGTGGGGTGGCTGGTACTTATCCTTGGTAGTACTTAGCATATTCTCCATACCATACCTAAATGCCTTACAGCATCCATGTGTGAAAAGACTGGACAATGGTAACATCCGAGTTCTAGATTTAAAGGTAGTGTAAGTTCGGTCTTGATTTTTTGGGGGCAAAGATAAAGAGAAGCGTTTCTGGGCATGTTTCTGTCATCTGCAGATGGGTGAGTGGCTTGGCTTCCCAACCCTTCGCAATGGGTTCAGTATCCGAGCACGGAACAGGAGCAGGCTCTCAACAAGGAGAAAGGATGTGCTTTTTGCAAAATCAGAATGCAGGTGTGTGCTGGATTGCTGCACAAAAAGGGTAGTGTTGTGTGTTGCTGAACTTGGAACTCTGAAAGGGCACAGATGTGGCAGGCTGGAGGTGGGAAATCCTGGGCATGGCTGTCAGACTTGGCACAAGTTTGACAGCTTCAAATGTCACTGACACCCATGAGCTATGTTGGAAAGAATCTTCATTTCTGTAATGAGAAAATAACTATGCTAACTTTGTAATTTTTTAAAGTTCGAAAATGCGTACAGTGAATCAATGTTGATTGTCAATATGAAGTTAAATTTTGTATTCCTTCTTTGTATAGGTTCCTAAAGTCACTCATACTGAATTCTGTCAAGGACGCACCATGAGATGGGCACTGGCATGGAGTTTCTATGATGATGTACAAGTACCTGTAAGTAGCCTGATTTTGGTTTGCTTGTGATAGTCTGTGCCTCTTACTGGAGGAAGAGCCTAATGAGCTACAACTGCTGTGAAACAAGCTGTTCTTCAGACTGGAACATTGGATGCACCAGGCTCTACGGACAGTGGGATTTCTCAACTGGCTGCCACTCTGTTAGCAGCTGTTATGTGTGATTTGTGAATCACCTGTGTTTAGGGAGGAAAAAAGCCTGTGCAGGAGCTTCCTGTGGGTTTCAGTGAAAGTAAGGGTTGCTTGTAATATACAAATAGCAATTTAGTAGTATTAAAAGTATACAAAGTTTGGGACTAGGTTTGAACTCTAAGCTTCCATCTGAGAACTTGCTTAGAATCTATACGATAAATTAAGTTACCAAATAGATGTGAATATGTCTAGCTCAGACTTACCTGCATGAATCTAAGTGGAGCTTGATCATCTTAACTAATATGAGTCAGGTGCTTTTTTGGATCTAGATGTACATATACTGTAAGATAGGTATAGACAATAACCAACCTTATAGAAGATGCAAGTAAACCTTCAGTGAACTTGGGTCAAAATGTGGATATTGGCGATTAATGTCTATTTGCAAGAGCAGATGCATTTTCTCAGCTCACAGAGAGATAATAGTTGGAAGGAACCAGAAGCTTTTTGCCTAATGTCTGAAAATAAACTCTCTCTGTCATCAGGCTAGCATAAAGTGCACGATCCTGTTAGCTGTTTTCAGTCTAAAACTCTTTAGAGTGAACTGAAACACAGGCCATGTCAATGACTATTTAGTATCCCCTTGTCTTCTGAGTACAAAAATCATCCCAGTAATACTGCATCACATTGTAATTGTTTTTCTTTCTTCTTCTAGTCACCTCCGTCTAAAAGAAGAAAATTAGAAAAACCCCGAAAACCAATTACATTTATGGTCTTGGCTTCTACAGTCAAAGAGTTATCCAACAAAGCTGCAGCTATGGGCTGGGATGCAGTAGAAGCTATTGCTGTGGTTAGAGCCTGGGTAGAGAAGATTCTTACTGATCTGAAGGTACAGTATTAAGTGTTTAAAACAACGCCCTACTTGAAAGCATAACCATGAGAGGATAGTATGAAATTCTGCTGTTTTCTGCAATAGGTTCAGCATAAACGTGTTCCCTGTGGAAAAGATGAAGTTAGCCTGTTTGTGACTGCCATTGAAAACTCCTGGATTCATTTGAGGAGAAAGAAACGAGAGAGAGTAAGGCAATTACGAGAACTTCCTCGAGCTTCTGAAGATACTCTACAAGCAACGGAAGAGGAAAAAACCAGCCAGAAGAGTGCAAGCAACAATTCAGACTGTGAAAACCCCAAGACTGAAGACTCTGAAACAGGTCTTAGGGTACCTGATGAGGATGTCCACTTGAGCGCAGGTGACAAGCTCATGGAAGAATCTGCTGCCAAGGAAGAACGCAGTGAGCACATGGAGGAGGAGGAGACAGAGGCAAAGCAAGCAGAAACATCACTTGGCAAAGGTTCCAGTAATGCAGAGGAGGAACCTTGCGCTTCAGAGGAAGCTAGCAACCTGACAGTTGAAAAAGAACAGAGTCCCAGCGAAACTAATAGATGTTTTCTCTTTAAGTGTTTAATCAATGTGAAGAAAGAAGGAAACGATGTATTAGTAGAAATGCACTGGGTTGAAGGACAGAACAGAGACTTGATGAACCAGCTGTGCACATATGTAAGGAACCAAATTCTTCGGCTGGTTGCTAGTTAGCCCTTTTTCCTACTTTGGTAAAGTAAGTCAATCCTCAAATTTTGTAAACTATTTTTAATAGGTTAACATTTTCAGTTAGCAAAGGCTGTTGTTTTGCCTTAAAGGAAAAAAAAAGTAAAATGGAGATAGAAGTCCCCTTTAATATTTTAAATAGCTTTATCACAGCTGCAGGGAGTACATGAAGTGTACTTCAATGGACATGAAGCGGTGGAGAAGTAATAGATTTTGTTTTGCAGCTGTAAAACTACATGTTAAAAGTAAAATGTGTCTATGCTGTGACAGCTTCAAATATCAACAGTACTTATGGTTTTTTTTTCTGGTGTAATAGAATTCTATATTGTTACTAAGTAGAAATCTTTACTGAAATATTTTCTTCCATATTTTTTCAATACTAATGCAGGAAATGGTTAGTGTATGCTCTGGGAATTGTTTTCTGCGGTGAGGAGTCTTCAGCTAAGGATTAAGTATGCCTCTCTTCCCTGTAATGTGTTTAACCTTTGGTCTACAGAGTAGCAAGTTGGATGCATCTTTTAAGTGTCAATTCATTAAAATCACTTTAGAAAAACCGTGTGTTGTACTTCTATGGCTCTTGGGCTTTGAAACACATCATCTGGTTCTGTAAACTTTGTTTTGACAACAAAATAAGCTTTTTGAGCTGCTTGGTTTAAAGAGGATTTGGCTGTGTTGACTGTTCCATTAGACCGCTCCTTACACTAGTTCAAATATAATTATCTCAAATGACAGCAGTATTCGTAAAGGATTTTGCTTCCATTTAATCTTAAGAGATTGCTTTAATGACAGGAACAAGAGCACGTGCTTATCTTCGTGGGGCAGAAATTCCTTATTGAGGACAAAGATGGATACAACAGGTTGTTGCATAGGAAGACAACTGGAAAGAAGGCTTTTGCTTTCACACCTGACTCCCTGGTCCTTTTTACCACCAGCTCCTCTCCCAGTGTTTCTGGGCCAGTGACCTGTTCCTGTAAGAAGAGAGGCTGAGGGACATGGGGCTTGGGTGCCTCAGAAAGGGTGCGTGTATGTGTTTGAGATTGAGCGCTAGCCCCGCGTCGTGTGCAGTCAGCCTCCCACGCTGCAGTCTGTATCTCTAGAGATCTACAGAACACTGACATCAGGCTTTTCTGAGAGTGGAGTGTGCGTGTGTTACCCAAAATAAAAAAAGATACACTCCTGGGGGTCATAGGTTCATGCTACTGGAACCACTTTGAATGTTCACCCTTAGTTGTCAGTATTTCTGGAAAGATTAGTATGTTTTCTTAAGTTGAAATTAAAAGCAACTTGGAAAAGCCTTAATTTCCCCCCTCTGTGGTGAACAGTTATGCTTCTTAGCACTTCTGCAGGTGATGGACAAAGACCTCCATTTTGTTGGATATTGGAGAATCTTCCCAGAACTGCTTCTGGTAGTCATGTCACTGGGAAGAGAGAAAACTAGTGCTACTCTTTCAGAATCTGAAGAGGTTATTTTGGCTAGCTGAGCTGTTATAAACGGACAGCAGGGCTGTTTGTCCTTTGTGCTGTTCCCTGTTTATCCTTTCAGCAGTCTGTCTGTCTGCGACGATGAAGCAACTCCACAAGGTAAGCCTGGGTGCTTGTGGCGTGCTTGTTTTGTTGAAGTAGACTGCGTTACCTTGCTTAATTAATTACCTGTGCAACATGAATAATGTGTACGTCTGATAATTTCTTAAACAAAGCCAGATCTTTTTACAAAGAAAACCAGAAGTCTGTGATTTGGAGATCCATTTTAGAAGTTCAAATGTTGTCTTGGCATTTTATTTCATAGAAATGCTTTGACAAAGGTGATTGTGGCACTTAGAA